GGGCACAGCCACTGTTTTCTTTGCTTAAACTTTCCCCCTTTTGCTGATGCTACAGTTGCAGTGCACTGGCTGTTTGCATGTTGAAATCATCCATGGGAACGCAGTCCCCAAACAGCCTGGTGAATGGCTGTGCTACGCTGGGAAGCCAGGAGCTCGGAGGGGGTGAGAGCCGTGTTTGCTGTGCTGACAGATCCTGGTAGCTGGCATCCCGTTAGTCTGATGGGTCTGTGCAGTCGCACTGCGTACATTTGCTGTGCTCTGGGACATCCCTGCCACCCTCCATGGAGTGGGATTGGGCAGATCTAGCGCTGAACATGAGCTGCGTTGGGACCGATGCCTTAGCTTCGCCAAAGGAAGAATCTTCTTGAATGTGCTGTGGCTTTCACCTGCTGTGGACTGGTGCTCCAAGCTGGCAGCTAAGAGCCTCGTTCAGGATCCCACCCCCCTGGAGCTCCTTGATTTCTTATCTGAAGGGCAGGGGGATGCATTGCCAGTGCTAACTGGTCCTGTTGTGCCTCTTGGCAGGAACCCAGAGCTTGCAGGCTGAGCACCTAATGCTGCAGCTCCGATTCAGTGGAGTCTTGCTAGGGGTGATATGTAACCAGTGCAGCTCGCTGCTTAGACTCTCACTGGAAATGGGTTTAACTGCTGTGCAGTGCAAGCCAAACCAAGAAAACCAGACTTATGCCAGTGTGTGTGTCCACGCACCATGTAGTCTTGGTTTAACTAATGTGCAGCTTCACAGCATTAATTAAATAGGTTCTCCTTTGCACAGAGCAGGTCTTGTAGTTGCTGTGCACAGTGCTGCTGGCTACAGAGGCAAGTGGCAGAAGGAACTGGGCCCTGAATGGCTGTCCAAATTAGGAACATAAGGGTCCACAGCCTTTTTTAACATAGGATGCTGCAGTCCACACAAAGCTGGATGCTTAGGGTTAGAGGCTAGAGGTAAGTGCTCCTTGGCTCTCTTACAGTCCTAGATATTAGCTTAGGATGTGGAGGGCTTGAGTTAAGGTCCATTCTCTGCCACAGACTTCCTGTGTTCCCTTGGGGGGCTAGCCACCTCATCTTTCTGTGCGTCAGGTCCCCATCTGTACAATGGTGATGACAGCACCATCCTGCCTCCCAGGTGTATGTGAGGATAGACACATTAAGGTTGCTGGTGTGCTTGTACTATAGCAAGGGTTATTTGTAGTGTCGTCGCACCTGAGGCCCAGTCATGGATTGCAGGTCTCCCCTGTGCTAGGTGCTGCACAAACACAGAGCAGAAAGCTGGTCCCTGTCCCAAACGGCTTACAGTCTGTGGAGGTGCCTGAGCCGGATGGATCCAAACCACCAATGGAGCTGTGCTAACACAGACAGATGTTTCCTCATATTCATGGTGTACCCAGTGCTGTGGCACTGCGGCTGCCTGGGCTTTGATGATGTGCTATGGGGCAGTAGCCAGTATAATGCATTTTTGGCAGTGCCAAGGGCTTCACGCTCCTGGATTTGTTGAGTTTGGGTTTTGTGCATGTAACTACACTTGGCTGCAGGAGTGGTGGTGTTGTGGGGGGGCAATGTTTGATCCTTCTCTCTTTGCAAGCCATTACTATAAAGGCCTTGTCTTACCCCTTCAGCATGTCCCCAGTATGTTCCTGATCAGTCACGCAGTCGGTTTGCAGGAAGCCAAGAGTGATGCATTGCCCATGGAGGTGCTGGCCTACCAGGAATACAGCGGCTTTACTGGGCAAGCTCAGACTCAAATGATTCTAGTCTGGTCCAGAACTGTCCCCGTGTCTGCACCAACTCCATGCTTTGGCTTCTTGTGCTTGAATGGTGCTCCTGAGGGTATTGCTTTACTTTTAATGAAAATTACTATGCCAGCACAGCCCTTCAGTGTAAGGCACCTCTCTATCACTATAATGAAATTGTTTATTCCCCTTCCCACAAGGCAATAAACTTCTATACTACTGTCACTGCGTCCACTCGAACGACACCAACAGGCAGTGGTTAATGTGCTCCAGGGTTTGTGGATGAACCTTGGGGCTCTGTCCAGTGTTAAGGGGAGTCCATGGAAGGACTCTCATTGACTCTCCTGGGGTTTGGATTGGGCCCTGGGGACTATTTTGTAGTGGAGCAAGGCTTTCCCATCTCAAAATAACCAAGCAGGGATTATGGCTCACCAAATGTCATGGGGCTAATTTATTCTGACAGCTGTAGTTTAGCTTTATGTTAATATCTCATCATGTTGCAGTCAGTGTTCTGTGATATGTCCCGTAGAAATAACGAGGTCTCGGCGATCAGAGACCTCCCTTCCACTTGCTGCTCTGCGAGCTGTGCTGGGAAATGCAGATGAAATTTGCTGCGCAGATTATGCAGCGTGTGGATTAGCGAAGGGGAAGAGAAGGGAGGTCCTGCTGCCATTTGTAATCCGTTAAGGGTTGCCAATCCATCTGCCATGTCAGGGGCACGTTGGAGTGGGCCTTTTCATGGTCTCCTGGGGAGAGTGAGGACTTGTGGCTTTTGCTGCTGGAGAGATTTCTAGTGGGCCACTGATGGCCTGGCTTGGCCGCCTCCCCTGGAATCCTTCAGGCAAGAGCAGTTCCACTGCCTGCATCCGGGAGTGAAGGTGGCAGCAGGATGAAGGTCCATACAGGTGTTGCTTTAATGCTGTAGTCCTTCATACCCAGCCTACAGAGGCCCCATGGGCCATGCATAATGCCGGCTTAGTGGCACGTGCCAGGGCAGCATGCGGCCGCTGTCTGAGATAGGAACCTGTGATTTAGACCCTGGCGTCTGGGCGCTGAGGGAAAATGTTATCTCCTGGTCCGTCACTGATAGCCTTATCTCCGCAATGCAGCTGTGCAGTCAGGGCTCGCACTAGAGGCAAGGGGCTCAGTTCTGGTCTGCTGTACCCATGCGAATTGGTGGTTTTTGGAGCAGGCTGTGGACTGAGATATCCAACATCCAGGGCTATCCCAGGCTGTGTTGGACAAGAATTCACTGGGAGACAATGCAGGCTAGTGTTTGGAGCTGAGGATGGGGGCAAGGTCTTCTAACATCTGTTCTGCACTGCCACAGACCAGATGAGAGTCTGAATCACTGAAGTCTAGATGCTGATACTTTCCCTTCCATCCAGTAACACCCTCTGGCATGAGCCGTGCTGTGAATCTCAGCAGAGCTGGCCAAAGAGTAAAGTACCATCCTGTGCGAGGGTCCCTGAACCTGGCCCTTGGGACCTGCTGTTCAGAAGTCCCAAGTACCTACAAAACCACATGCTGTCGCTGGGAGGTCAACACCTCTGGGAGCTCAGACCCTTGATCCCTTGTGCCTCGGTTTCCTCATCTGTAAAATGTACTGACTAATACTGCCACACCTCTATAAGGTGCTTTGAAATCTGGGTGCTGTGTAATAATGGTGCATGGTAGCAAATGAAAGGACTGACTGCTGCGCACAATTGACTAAGAGAAAGCCAGGCCTTGAAAGGGTCTTTTTATCTGACTGTCAATATGAAGTCCATGCCAGTTGGATGCAAGGTATGCTGCTTACCCTTCATTTCTAGTGCCTGTCTAACCCCTTCCTTGCTAGATGGAGTCCACTGGTGATATGTTATAATGGGCACCAGTGGACTTGCCATTTCTGTGGCTGTCATGCCAAGCAGCTGTGTAGCACTGCAAGATTAGCATAGAGGAACCTCCCAGGGACTGAGGTGTGGTGGGATGTTACACGAATGCTGTAAGAGGGCTATCCTGACATTTGGTGTGTGTGGAAGCTGCGTGTCTGATGCACTGTGCTTCTCTAAGTGAACTTGGTGGGGGAAATGGCCTGGCCACGCAAGGGGTTAATGCTTATCTGTGCATGCTACGGCTAGGCCAGAGCAAGTAGAAATGCGGTATAAATGATTTGTCTCCATCAGGACCGGGCGTGGGCATGGGGATGTGGGTGCATGGTTGGGAAGGGCCAGTGGAGGGAGGGTCCACCTCTGTGGCATCTGTGTTCAGTGGGAAGACAGTGCCGGCATTACGCTGTGATTGAGCTCCCTCTCCCTGCAGCCAGGCCTGGACCACAGGTTTCTCTCTGTGCTCTGTTCTCCCTTCAGCCCAAAAGATGACCCTGCTAGTTTGCCAGGCCCCTGCCTGCACTCCTTTGGTCCCTCAAAGGCATAGTCGCTGCCTGGTGTACACTGGGGGCTGGGTTGAAATCACAGCAGTGAACCCCAGAGTTGGCAGGTGGAATGGGCAAGTGTGAGCAGAAGTGCCCCAGGCTCGGGCTCTGCCCAGCGTGGGGTACAGATCTCGTCTGTTCCTGGCCCAGAGCCTGCTTTCCCAGATCAGTAACACCTCCCATCTCAGCTCATCAAGAAGTCAAGCTCATGTGCCTCTGAGACCTGAGTGAGTTTTAGAAATCCTCAGAACATACTGAGCTCATCACCACTTTGCTCGAGCTCACTCTGCTTTTCTCTTAAGAGACGCTGGCCTAGCGGAGACTGCTTGTCCATCTGGTCCAGTATCTCTCCACCAGCAGCGGCCAGTGAAGGATATTTCAGGGTTGTGTATATAAGGTGAACCCTACCGGTGCAGTGGTAAGCTGGGTAGGATAGTAGCAGAGGGGATTCTGTCCTGACTCCCTCCCCCGCCACTCCCCAATGACAAGCTAATGACCTGAAGCATTGCTGTCCCTACCCTGTCTTTAGCTGAGATAAGGTCACTGTAAGCAGCATTTTGTCCTTCACTGGAGCAGTGTGAAAATGTGCCTGGGTTGAGGTAACCACCTCACCTTGGGCTAATTTTGTCTGAGGAATATCTTGCATCAGCTGCATCCGCAGCTCTGAACAGGTACATTGAGTCAAATAAGGGCAGTGGTGCTTCCTGGTCCCTCTACCAGCCTGTCATTCAGTGCAGTCCAACGCCGCTAACCTCACCTGGCTCTCGTGTGTTTTGCAGCCATAATGAAAGACGGACCACGTTTCTGCATCCAGTGACCGCACAGATTCCAGAAGAAAACGTACGATTTGACTTGCAAAAGTAGGTTGGCTCCTGAGCTCTGCTGTTCCTGGCACTGTGTGTGTGTGCACGTGTGTGTGTGTGTACACGTGTGTGTGGATTTAAATGAAGAAACCAGAGTATGAAAGTGCAAATAGCTTGAAGGAAATTGAATGCTTCTGGAGATCCCCAGGCCAGAAATGGTGGAGGAAGTCAAAGGTTTGCAGTGAGACAATAGAGCTCCTGGCTTTGCAATGCATGTTTGAGCAAACGGAGGAGGTTCTGTCTTACTCTGGCTCTGACCCATGGATGGCAGAGGAAGGACTGACTCCTTTCACTTCAGTGAGCTTGGATTCAGTGGGAGTTGTCTGGGAGGGTGTTGTGAGTTTGCTGGCTTAGTGGACCTGTGGGGCAGACCGTTACTCCTCAGCCATCTTACGGATATCCCCAGAGTGTTCCTTATCGCTCTCTGTTGCAGATCAAACTTGGACATGTCAAGCAAAGCAGGTGGGAAGCGACCGGCGGCCATTAACAGCGAAACATCCAACCACGCCATGGTGTCCGAGGTGCCTCAGGAACGGCCAAATGGAAGGGTAGGTCCCACAGGGGTGGCAGAGATCCGGGCAGGTCTGGCAGGGAGGCCCAGGGTTCCTGGCATCTACCCCTTGCTCAGCCCTGACCTACTGGATGAAACCCCACTTCCTCCTTCTCTGCGTGTAGCTCTTTTCCCATGGGCATCTGGTCTGTGGCAAGCAAATGTACCACCCCTGGTAAATGCCAGCTGGTACATAGCTATAGCTGGGCTGAGGGATTTGCTGTGGGGAGCCAAGTACCCTATAGAAATTGGGCTGGATGAGACCTCAGGGAGCCAGCTAGCTTAGCCCCCTGCTCGGGGCAGGGACATCCCTCTCCATCCCATCCCAGTTGCATGTGCATCTAACCTGCGCTTGCAAACTGCCAGTGGTGGAGAGTCTGCAATGGGAACACCCAGCCTTCGCGCGGGACCATCCAGGGGGGACACAGGCCTTGTGATGAAGGTGCTGCCTGGGGCTTTAGGAGGTTTGGGCTCTGTTCCCAGCTCTGCTGCAAACTCTGTGACAGTAGGCAGGTCCTGTCCCTTCTCTGTACCTCAGTTTCTCCATGTGCAACATGGGAACAGTGACACTGCACCCCCTCTTTGTGCAGCACTCTGAGATCTGTGGTTGAGAAGTGCTGCGTATCAGTGAGGCAGTGGGATGAATTATCATTGCAGTGCTCCTTGCACACTGAGGGAAGTCACTGACTGGGTCTGAGGCCTCAGCAAAGCTGTTGCAGCTATTCTGATGCAGCTTGATCTCCCTGTAGGGAAAAGATGGGATAGAGCTGAGAGCAAGAGTCAGCCTGGGAATGATACGTAAAGGGATGAGATTCCCTGGTGGGCATCCAGCTGCAGTGCCTTGTTGTGAGATGCAGCCTCCCTTGGTACCAGACAGCAGCAGGGCATGCCGTCCCCCTGCTCCTCTAGCTGCAGGAATACCCCTCGGCCTTGGCAGCCCCTCCTGGGCTTGTGTGTGAGGGGAATACCCCCAGCCTGATGTAAGGCATGGTGAGCCCTTCTCTTCCCTCCCCTCCAGGCCTCGCGCCCCTCCAGGAAGGGGATTGCCTTTGGGAAACGCTCCAACTCCATGAAGAGGAATCCCAACGCCGCGGTGACCAGGAGCGGCTGGCTCTACAAGCAGGTACCGGCCCTCCCATGCTCCCTTCAAGCAGCCCCATGTCTCTGTCATGCCCACCCTAGCTAATGATACTCCCTGATAGATTCCCCTGACCCCTGGGACTCCATTTGTCCAGCCTCCTGCCAAGGTATCTCTCATGTCCCCACACTCCTGGTCCACACGGCGCACTGGTACTGGGTTTCCACCCAGCCTGACAGCCCGTCTTCCCCCAGAAACCCCCAGGGCCAGCTGGTGCATGGTGCCAGAATTGCCTTCTCTGTGGGTGATGCACAGGCTTCCTGCTCGCTGCTTCCCTTTCTCTGCCCCACACGCAGCAACAGGGTGGGGAACTGGTCTCATTCCTGCCTCTCTTGCAGGCCAGCTCCGGGGTCAAGCAGTGGAACAAGCGCTGGTTTGTGCTGGTGGATCGCTGCCTTTTCTACTACAAAGGTGCGTGGCAGAGTACAGGACAAATCGAGTCAATCCCAGTGCATGGTCCTGAGACTTCCTGGCAGCCGAGGCTGTTGCTCCAGTCAGGCACAGCTAGACACCATCTCCATCTCTGTTTGGTCTCTACTCGCTGGGCCTCTGTGGCTCTCTCTCATCTCTCTGCTGTCTGTCAGCCAGTTTCTTTCTCTCTTGACATGAGGCAAGACCATGTCATGTGGATCCTGGCACAGCAGTGAGGGCAGAGTCCTGAGACTGAGGACGGCCTGGGCGGCGTTCCACAAAGAGTGAGATTTGCCGGGAAGGCAGCTTGGTGGGGTGCGAGGTGGGAGAGGTCGAGCCAGCCGTATGACAAGGATACAGCTGTGATTGTGTGTGGTGCTGAGAGGCTCCAGCAGGGTGCTGAGTACACGTAAGGGAGTCGTGAGAGGTCAGAGCCTTGCAGGAGGGAGGCTGCATCGCAGTACAGAGCCGTTCCCTTCCTCACCTGGCTGACATCCTTGGAGGAGTTGGGAGCTGGTGTGAGAGGTGCTGGCTGAGGACCTCCACACCTGCCTCTCCCACTCCAGCAAATGATTAATGCCAGGAAATGAACCCTTCGCCACAGGCCTGTTTGTCCCAGAGCAAGCCAGGCCTCCTGGCCAGCAGTACAGAGCTGTTGTTAGTGGTGTCACAGGACTTGAAGAGCATGCGAGGGGCTCTGTGGCCATATGCCAGCTCCTGGTCTGTGGGTGGCATGGGATATAGCAGTCTCTTCCTTCAAAGAAGCTAAAGAGGCAAGCCTTGGACTCTGATCCCAGCTCCCAGCCCCATCCTCCTCTGCCCCTGGGCTCTGGGGGCAGCCCCTCACCCCACCTGCACCTTGTGCAGCCTCTGGCTTCTGGCAGGCAGCTCTCTCAGCCTCATCCCCGGCAGCGTGCTGGGAGGGTGGGCATGAATAATTAACCAGCCTGCGCCATGAGTGGTGACTGATACGGGCCTGCGTGTGCCGCTGGGAGTGGAGGGTGGAGGCAGGGGGAAGAGCCAGGCGGATGCAACAGGGGCAGGAGCTGTGCTTGACAGGTGGGTTGGCAGCCTGCCCTGCCAGACTCTGCTTTCCTGGCTCCATCAGGGCCCTTGCCTTGCCCGGGAGCCCTGCTCCCCTTTCAGCAGCGGGAGAGAGGGAGTCGCTCCCAGTTTCGGAGCCTTCTCAGATGTTCCCTCACCTGCTTGGAGGGGCAGGCAGGTCTCTAGCCTAGCCTAGGAGGCCCTGCTCCCTGCTGGCTCTGTGTCTAACGCCCTGTCCTCTTCACGCAGACGAGAAGGAGGAGAACATCCTCGGCAGCATCCCGCTCCTCAGCTTCCGGGTGGCAGCCGTCCAGCCGTCAGACAACATCAGCCGGAAGCACACCTTTAAGGTCAGTGTGCAGCACCCTGGGGCTGCTGGGCACTCTTGGTTGTTGGCTGGGTTCCTAGAGGCCATGACAGGGCCAGGGCTTGTACCGCGGCCTCTTCCATGCAGAGAATAGCTTCTGGGGAGTGGCAGTGTTCAACACAGCCCCCTGCTTCAGCTTTCAGCTGCCAGTGGCGATTGGTGCACGGGGGGAGGTAGGGATGGGATCTGGAAAGTCCTCGAAGGCAGGCAGCAAGCTGAAGTGAGGGAGACGTGGGGCCAGCTTGCAGGTGTGATTCACCGCGGAGTGGAAGCTCTGCTTAAAGATGTCTAAGCCTGCTCTGAACAGGTTGGAGGGCTCCAGGCCCCTTGCATTTGACTGCCATGTCCCCTGCCCCTTCCTTTGTCACTGATGCCTGCACCAAATATTCCCCCTGCCGTGAGCGATTCTTTGCCAAGTTGCAAGAGGCTGCATGGGCAAAGCCAAGGAGACTTGGTCTCTAGGTTTCTTGCCCAGTAATGCCTGAAAGCAAAGATTCACCCAGTCTGCAATACCCAGACATGGTTTGCAAAGCTTTCCAGTCCCTTAGGGAGGGGCTCAAATCCAAGGAAGAGCCCCGCTATCCATCCTAGCCACGGGCAAAATTGCACAGAGCATGCATGGAGTCCAGTCTGACATCTCTAGTGTCCCCCCTCAGGAAACATGCCCTACCCGCCTGCCCTCCATGCATTTCCTGCGCAGCTGTACTCATGCTCCATAACCCCCTCCCACTGACAGGCGGGTCCCGTCTGTGCGGAGGCTCCCTGCCACGCGGCTCTGAGAGCCAAGTGAAAGGAACGCTCTGGGGCGGAGAGCGCTTGCTAAAGTGCATTATTTCTGGGCGCTTGGTCGCCACCCGCCAGACTGGCTGAAAGGACTCCCGCATCACGCTGGTGGGGAGGGAGCATGCTCGGGTCTTGTTCTGGAGGAGGCTGAGCTCTCAGTGGCTTTAGCCAGTCAGGGGTGCTGAGCAGATGCGAGTCTTGTGGACATGACCTTGTGCAAAAGGCAGCACGGTGATGATGTCAATGATGCTTGCGGTTTTCATCCCTGAGAGGGAGGGGGAAACTGAGGCACTGAGTTTGCTCAGGGTGACCCAGCAGGCTGAGCCAGGCACACTCCCCACAAGTCCCCTGACATCACTCTCCTTATTAGGCCTTCCTGCCTGTGGGGTTTAAATGGGGCCTGATTCAGCCCTCTACACAAGGGAAGATACCTCTGGTGCGGAGGGTGATCGAAGTGCACCAGCAACCTAGTGCAAAGCAGGGTGTGTCCTTCCCTGCAGGGCTACCAGCCTTGCTCCCTGTTTTAAATGACCCCCCTGTATTAAGCAGCACAGCCAGCCTTGCTCTTCCACGGCACTCGGCACTCCTGCCTAGTGTCTCCTTAGCTGGCCTCTGAGCCCGGATGTGCAGGAAGGGGAGGTCCTCTGCCCCCTGTCTAACTAATTTTGATTAGAGCGTAAAGAAAGGAAATGCTTCATAATTGTTTAGCACATAATTAGTTTCTAGTTGTCAAGCTTCTGGGTGGGCAGGCATATCATGCCAGGGAGCTGCGAAACACTGGAGCGGGGCCGGAGGCCATGTTTCCTTGTAAGTATGCTGTTGGACACACACACACACACACAGTGCCTGTTGTGCACCTGTTCACAACTCGCCCAGGCGTGGTCCTGTGTGTGTGTGTGTGCGCACATGCACACACACATATGCATGCACACACACATTTGTAGCCCCCCATGCACATATTCAAAGGCACATGCACAAAGTCATGCATGTATGCATACTGCCACACTCTTGTGCACAAGGTGGGCACAATAATAATACCTTGCTGAATGCTGGAAATAACCACACACACACACACACACACACACACACACACACACACACACACACACACACACACTTCTCCTTCTCATTCACGCTTGTATGCACCTCAAGCACAGTCATACTTGGACTCACACTAACAGCCGCACACATGCATTGATTCACCCTCACAAACATTCACACCCAGCCCTTGCTCAAACAAAGCCCAGCACACCCACAGCTACACATGTGCCACAATCAAAAATACACACGGATGCAATCCTACACATGTGCTTACACATAGCCGGTGCTGAGATTATAACTCGGCAAGAGGGAGTGCTGTACACACATACATACACACACAGACACCCACACATGCTCAGAGGGCAACTTTCATTTGGTTGTGGTTTATTTATAGGCATCTTTGGAGCTCATGTCGGATTAACGCAATGAAATGCACACATTTCCCACCCAACCCGCCCCCAAATCACACAGGGCAGCTCCAAACAGAGGCCTTACGCTCAGCTCAGCCATTCCCAGGCTGAACTACTGTATCTCTGTCCTATTTCCTGCAATAAAATGAGAGAGAGAGAGAGAGTGCACATGTTTGAGAATTGGCAAAAGACTGCCAGGCCATTAAGAAGGAATGGATCTAGCCTCCTGGACTTGTTGCCAGTCAGATTAACCCCTTTAGCTCAGGGGAGGACAGGGGGTGTCGCTTGAAGGGAATGATTCCAAGGTCCATTTCCAGCCACAGAGAGCGTGAGACATTGGAGGCTTTCTCCTCTTTTATCATCCCCTTGGCCTCTGCCCTGCTCCAGGGCTTGGGCAAGGTCGCACTTCACTTCTCTGGCACTAGCTTAGCACCTAGTTTCTGCTCTGTCCAGCTCCACTGGCTTCTGTACAGTTCTGCATGCATTGGAAAGTACCAGACTTAAGCACTGGTTCTCATGGACTTTAATAGGACAGAAGCATGTGCTTAGGCCTCAATTCAGCAAAGCATCTGAGAGGGGATAGAATTTGGCCTGGGAGAAAACAACATTCAGGATAAAATTTATCCTGGGGCAACACTGTGGTTCTTACATGGCACTTGGCTGGGTCATAGGCCTTGCACACACTTGTAGTCAGTGCTTCATTTGCAAGGCGCCAGAGAAAGACGTTTCTGTTGAAAAATGTGTCCATCAAGAAACCAGAGGGATGGAAAATGGTAGCATTTGTTGCAAATGAATCTGTTTGGGGTTTTGCTGGGGGGGTTGGATTTGGGGGCCGGGCCTGCAAAATGTGTGGAAACAGAGACTGTGCATTATAAACATTGTTTTTCAAAAGCGTCTGTTGAAAAGCCAGATGTGTTGGGGCCTTGATACAAAAGTGAAAATGTTTCCAAATTTCCATTGGGAAAAGAACTGGCTTTTTTTCAAGCTGCTCTGGACAGAGAACCAAGGGCTGGGCAGGGTGGGGATCGAGCCCCATTTTCTGGAGCATGGAAACCATGTGATTTAAGTCAATGGTGTTGTGAGTTTTATTTTGGTACTGTATGCAGCATGCAAAGTCCTTGATGTGCACAGGGTCAGTGGCTGATGTTCTAGCTGTGCTCTCAATGAGTCTTAAAACTGCAATCCTCACATGCTCAGATCTCTGAGGTCGGGACCTGGCCGGACATTACAGGGGCAGGATAGTGCCCCTGGGCTCTAGGTTAATGCAGCACGGAGCACAACCTCTGCTACACTTCCTCTGCCCATCTTGGGTGCTCCTGCCCTGCCTCACTTGCCTACGCATCTCCCAGTTGAATTGCCTTTCGGGTGGTTTGACCTGTTGTCTGTCTTTCCTCCTTTTCTCTGCGTGAGGATCCCCTCTGGACAGGAGGTCTCTTCCACGGGCCCGTCTGCAATTCCAGCACACAGCCACCAAATAGGTAGTATATTCCTTCCATTTCCGAATGCATGCCAGAAAGCCAAGGGATTTGGCCGGTCCCAGCATGCCTCATTCAACCCCGTCCTCCTCCATCCAAGGGGGTCAGATCACAAGGGGTCAGCCTGCAATCAAATGCTTACAAATACCCAATGCATGGAGACTGGTGGAAAGACAGAGGTTTGTATGAGTATGGCAGCAAAGAGTCTTCTAGAGCTAGTAATCGAAGGCTGGTAGCTAATTCATGAGAGCAAGTCCAAACAGGAGAAGAAATTCTGAGGAGAAGAAATTCCAACAAAAACAGAGAATTCGGGGTTTGTTTGGAATTCATTTTTTGGCCAAACAACATTTTTGCATAAAAACGTGATTTTTCTTTTCACTCTTTCAGGGTTTTTTTTCCTTCTCCCCCTCTCTCCTTTCCCTACTTTTCCTCTCCCCGCAGGAAGAGGGAGGGCAATGAAGAGGGAGAAAGGGGGAAGTGAAAAGATGGAAAAAGTCTTGGTTTCCATCTTGTTTCATCAGAAAAGGAACATTTCCCACGCAAATATCGTTTTGGTCAAAAAGCTGGTTTTAACTGGGGGAAAAGTATGTGCATCTGTGAGGATTTCTGACCAGCTCAGTTCTCATGTTAAGATCCCGGGGGCTTCTCAAGATGATATTTGCCTTCCTTGCACCTGAAGCCAGAGACGGAACAACCCGCACGTAGATTTTGACCACCCAGATGGTCGGCTGTATTTCGGTCTGGGCTTTGAGTCATCTTTGTGCAAGCGGACCAGGCAGGGGGGATGCTGATGTGACTGCTTGAGCTGCAGCACTATGGGTGGAAGCAGCTGTAGTCAGGAGGACTGCAAGGGCCTGTAGCTTTTCTTTAAATAAGGGTTATGTGCCAGGAGTCCCCAGCCACTTCCCAGGCTGTGGGGTATCAGGAGAGCTTCAGGTCAACCTCCAGGCCAGCTGGACCTATCCAGCTGTCCTCTGCTGCTAGATGAGGTGTGCTCAGAGCCTTGCACTGACTTTCAACACCTAGCTTGGATGGACTCTGGGCATAGCAGGTAACCCAGATCCAGCTTCTCAAGATACTCTCAGGGGTGGGTCACAGTAACCCTCTAGCAGTGGTCATCAGTTGGCCTGGTTGCCCCATCTCCTTGGCCCTGTGGGGTTTTTGTGCTGGAGCAGGCTCTGGGCCTTGCCAGATGTGGCTTTGCCTACAGCTCCAGGCTGTCTCGGCTAGCAAGCCTGGGCTATGGCTGGATGACTGACCTCTTGCTTGTCTCTGTGTGCACTCTTCCCTCACTGCAGGTGACCGTGTGCTGGGTAGAGGAAGTGCCAGGGGGTAACCAGAAGTGCCTCTCTTCCCAGGCTGAGCACGCAGGCATCCGGACCTACTTCTTCAGTGCTGAGAACAGCGAGGAGCAGGAGGCCTGGATCCAAGCCATGGGCGAAGCTGCCCGCGTGCAGATCCCACCCGCCCAGAGGTCAGCACTGCAGGCACCTCTTAGTGGAGGCTGGAGGGCCTCTGTGGAGAAGTGGGGGAAGAGGGGAGATCAGGGCCAGACTTGGTGGTGTGTTAGGAGCACGGGGAGCATCAGTCCTGAGGGATCAAATCCTAGATCATTGGGAGCATGGTGGGGCCAACAGACAGAAACTTGGGGTGTCTTTGGGGTGGTGTCTCAGTGCCATTAGCCACCGGTGCCTTTGGCAGTAGGCTGAAAGGTGGGTCCTTTACAGCATGGAGGGGTGGAAAACTGAGATCTATTGTCAGAGGTAAGAAGGCAGCAATTTTGGGGATTGTTTCAGAGACAAGGGGGTCAGTAACCAGCTTCCAGTGGACTTCGCTGCCCCCGCCCCTGGGAGGAAGGGACAGGACTGCCCTTAACATCCTGGGTTGTGTGGCAGGGAATGAGGCTCTGTGTGTTCTCACCCATGGCAGGCACGAGAAGACGGACTCTGAGAACATCCCCCCGGCCAAACACCACCACCACCACCGGCCAGCTGCCCACAGGGAGCACCCCAAAGCGGACCCAGAGGTCAAGACCCGAGGGGAGGGGGATGGGCGTGGCTCGGAGAAGGTTGAGAGGAAGCCAGAAAAGGTGGAGAGCAAGAAGGAGCCACTGGCCAAAACCAACGGTGTTGCTGGGCAGGAGATGCCTTCCGAGCCCGGCAGCCCATACCCTGAGGGTCCCCGGGCATCCGCGGGGGTGGAGAGGTCATCCCAGCCCAACGGCTGGCAGTACTCATCCCCCAGCCGCCCCGGCAGCACTGCCTACCCACAGCAGGATGGAGAGAGCGCGGTGCACCGGCGGGGCTTCGTGCCACGCACCAACCCCGAGAAGATTGCCCAAAGGAAGAGCTCCATGACACAACTGCAGCAGTGGGTGAACCTGCGCAGGGGGACAGTCCCACCAGAAGAGCTGAGGAGGTAAGAGGGCTGTGGGCAGGCATGGCATGACGAGGGGGGTCTTACTGCTCTGCTCTTCATCCAGGGCAGGAAAAGTTCCCTGTCTTGGTCTCCATCCTGGTGTCTGGGGAGGTGATGAAACCTCCATCCCAAACTGTGCCTGGCACTGGGGCCAAACCATGTGCTGTGTGGACGCACCCCAGGTGGCTTACTCCCGGGACCAGGAGGAGAGTACGGTGATATTTGGAGAGGCGGGGAGAGAGCAGTTGCACAGAAGCAGGGTTAGCTGGACAGGGAAGAGATCAGGAGGCCCTGGAGACTGCTTCTCAGGGCCAACTGACAGAGGGGCAGATGGGGTCGAAGGGGGGGCAGAGGGGAACCATCACTTCAGGCCTCCAGCAGACTCCCTACGGTGACTGCACTGGTCACCATTTCAGGGGAGGACTCTAACCATAAGGAAAATGACCTGCATCAGGGTAGGAAAGAGCTCTGGGGGTCTCCTGTGGAGAAGCAGGGCTCTGGCAGGCTCCCCTTTGAGGACCTGCCCTGCACTTCTGACACCCAAGGGACCCCCACATGGGTTCTGCCTTCCCAGCCGAGGAGCACGGGTCCTGGGCAGGAGCCGCAGAGCTAGGCAGTGCTGAGACCCCTTGTACTGGGCCCTACCCCTCTCTGCTCTTCCTTTGGGGGTGCAGCCCCACCAGGTTCTACCCGGTGCCTCGGAGGGTGCCCGACTACTACACCCCTTACTCGCCTCAGTACCCTGACGATTACCAGTACTACCCGCCGGGCGTGCGCCCTGACAGCATCTGCTCCATGCCGGCGTACGAGCGGGTGAGCCCACAGTGGGCACTGGAGGACAAGCGCCACTCCTTCCGCAACGGGGGCACCTACCAGCTGCGGGAGTGGAAGGACCGTCCAGGCTGCGGCCGGCAGGACGTCCCCGTCTGGCTCCCTGGCCCAGTGCGTAGTCCTGTGTACTATGACGAGGTGGATGCAGCCTCAGGCTCCCTGCGAAGGATGTCCCTGCAGCCCCGCTCCAGGTCTGTGCCCCGTTCGCCCAGCCAGGGCTCCTACAACCGGCCTAGGATGTACTCTCCAGTCAGGTCACCAAGCGCCCGCTTTGAGAGGATGCCGTCAAGGAGCGAGGAGATCTATGCTGACCCCGCAGCCTACATGATGAGGCGATCAGTCAGTTCCCCCAAGGTAAACTCCCCCCGCACCCTGTCGCTCTCATGAGCTGTTCACAAGCAGCTGGGGGAGCAGCCGGGTGGGGGCAGGGCACATCAGCAGAGCTGGGGCTGGAGGGAGAAGAGGGCTGCAGGGCATGGTTGAGGGGCATGAGCAGGGCTGGAGGCAGGCGACAAGCTGTGGGGGGAGTAGCAGGGGCTAAACCTGCCCCGTGCGTGGCTGAAGCAGGGGTGTCAGTCCCTCCTCTCTGCAAGTGCTGTGTGTGCAACGAAGGGCCTGCTTGCAGGGCATGAGCTCTCGCAGTTGTCCCCTGCCCCGTCTCTGGCACCACCCTGAGGTTCTTGCACTGATGACCCAGCTCGGAGGGTTGTTTCCTGCCTGCAGCTCCTAATCTGATGAGCAGCTAAGTCTCCCATGGATCATAACACCAGGGCAACAGATACCAGGGGAGAAGGGACATCACAACTGCAGGATGGCAGGGTAATTCTGATTTCTCAGCCCTTTGAGAAGAACTAAGGAGTCTTCTCTGTGCTTTCCAGGGCAGTGAGCACAGGGCTGTCAAGGCTGGGGCAATGCAGAGGACCCCTGCATAGCCAGCACTGTGCAGCTGGGTGCAAACCCCCTGAATGCTAGAAAAGGCTGGATATGGATTGGAGCTTTGTGGCTCAGATCCATCCTAGCCCTGACTTCTCTCCCACTAGAGGAATCTCCTCGAGTGTGGGACTCTGGCTCTGCAGTTCCCCCATCTCTGAGAAGAGCTACCAGATGCCGAGACCCCCGTAGAGGGCTTTGGGACTGAGTGCTGCATGCTGGGGTGGTAGATGGGGAGCGGTATGAAGATCTCACATGTGTCTGGGGCCTCTTTTCTCTTCTCAGTACGATTATCTGGGTGACAGGAGGCCTGTCCCTGCAGGAATGTATCCCTACAACTACCCGGGTTCTCCTACCGTCCACGATAAAATGGTACGTGTCCTCAGCGACTTGTCGCTTCATTGTTGACCTTGCTTCTCTCTCAAGTTTTGAAGTGAACAGGGCATGTTAGCAGTGTGGGGCAAAGGAAAAGAGGCTGGCACGGGCATGGCACCAGTAACTGAGGGTGGTCTCAGAGCTCTAGTGTGTGCCCAGCCAAGAGGCACACGTGGCATCTGGGGTGCAGCTCCCAGCTCCTGCATTCAGACTGGTTGGAGGTCCTGCTGCCTCGGGGGTGCCTGGGCACAAATGGGGCATGAACAACATGGCCTACTGACCCATGGGGATGGGAGGGTGGCTTGTGCCCGCTCAGGAAGCCTGGAGAGGAAACAAGTCTGATCTGAGCACCCTCTGTCAGGCTGGCCTGAGCTGGCACATGTAGGAGGCAGGTCTCAGGGTCCCTTCTCTAGTGTCTTTGGTGCCATTTGGGGCTGGCTGTGGTGGGCCCCAAATGGGATGGTTTGCTCATAGTACACTGCCCTTCCTGAAGCCAGCTGGCTTTGCCCCTGGAAGGGGGCACATTGGAAGGCATGTGCTTCCCTTGCATGCCTGTGCATTCTGGGGTCATCGCTCCACCGAGAGCAGACAGAGATGCTTGGAAAACACAGCTCTGATGCACACTCTCAGGTTGCTGTGCTGTTTCCAACTCAAGGGATGAGCCTCCAGGACAAGGGGCCAGATGGACACTATGGATGGACACAGCCCTCCCTTCCCCCTTTCTGTCCCATCTCTGGTTCTGGCTGCAATTGCTTTGTTCCTTTTCCAAACTGCCCTGAACATTTTCTTTTCATTCGGGTGCCTCAGGGGTTGGGAGGTGGGGGACAGCCAGAGTCCGTGGGGTGAGGCCAGAGGTCTCCAGTCTGCTGCCTAACAGCTTCAGTGGCTTTGTACAGGGGCCCTGATCCTTCACCTGCCAGTAAAACCCAGCCTGGATGTCGGTGCCCTGCAGAGTGGACTCTAAGCTGTGCCCCTGCCACACCTGTCTTCCTCCCATCGCTGTCTCACTGCCTGGCTGTGCACACAGGGGTGATGCATGTGGAAATGTGAGGATGGAGTCCTGGTGCCCAGGATGCGGGGGCTCCATCCCAGCTTTCAATGCCCTGGGAAAAGGGGCAGGGGAAGCAGCGGGGTGGGAGAAAGAGAGGGGCAGGAAGCTCACAGGAGGAGCCGCCAGCTGTGCCATCCCCAGCAGCAGCCACTGTAGGCCAGAATGGAGGAGCTACTGTCAGCTGCTGCTGCAGTCCCAGCTGCTCCTGGCAGGAGCTGTCCATTCAGGGAGACGTTGTGAAGACACCTAGCTATGCCATCACCCATCCTTCATAGCACTGTTGGGAGTGGACAGTGGAGGGGGGAGGCTCTCATTCACTGCCGTCCCAGACTCATCCTGCAGAAAGTGCTAGGTGACCCAGGGCAGGAACTCAGTCCATGGGGTAGTTCCTATGGGGAGTGCAGAAGGTATTTTCTGTCCTGCTAAGCCCAGGGCACCAGGTCCTCCCTTGGCCAACATCCCTGGACCTACAAACCAGACAGAGGCAGCTCCTGCTCCATCTGCTAGACAGAGCTCTTTGCCTTTCTCTGGCCTCCACCTAACGCTTTGCTTCTTCTCTGTGTTTGTCCGTGTGTTCATTTTTTGCCGCATGTCTGTATGGCTCCTGGTAGGATGAACTGTTAGACCTTCAGTTGCAAAGAAACCTAGACTATTTGGACCAGCAGGTAGGCAGAGCTGGCTGTGAACCTCCATGCTCCTCATGTCCTCTCCTGCCTGTCCTGCACCATCTCCCCTCCCTGCCTCCCAGTGCAGTGTGGTTGCATCCTGCCCCATGACATCTATCCCACAACCTCTCCTGGCATGACGGCCGCACGAGTTGTCTTTGGTTTTTTCCCCCCATTCTACCCGTCGGCAGGGTCCCTGGTCACTGGAGAGAGACAAAAATGCTTCCTCTGTGTCCCGAACCTGTGAGGTTAGTGGTGCGGTGACAGATGCATGTGGAGTTGGCTCTTGGCCGAGGTGTGAATAAGGAGTCACTCTAGTCAGGGCAGCAGAGGTTTGCTGGTGTGAACAGGAGAAGACTGAGGCCCAAGCAACTGTGAGTGAATGGGAGTGCAAGTGCTTACAGCTTTCATGAAGGGATGGGCGAGGCTGAGCTTTTATCTCAGCACCCGAGTCTCCTCGCCCAGCCTTGTAAATGCCTTGATTCCAATGGGACTGTGCCTGATTTACACCAGTGTGTTGGCACCTGATTTACACATGTGAACAAAATCTGGCAGCACTGCTAACTTGGGCCCAGAGCCCAGTCCTTCCTGCTGCTACAAGTACCTTCCTTACCACGGGGTGAGACGCTCCATGAGGTGACGCTCGACTTAGTCGGGGTCTTTACCCAAGCAGCTAGAACCAGAGGGATGGACAGGAAGGCTTGGGCCAGGCCGGACAACTGACAGTTCAAGGAATCTGTGTGGAGTTGCTGCATGTGGCAGGAAGCAGCTGTGAGCATGCATGAGCTCCCTGCATGCGTGAGCTTGTGTGCTGTGGGGAAGAGGCAGGAATCGGGGATAACTGGAAGTCAGTGACTTAAACCCGGCTAAGGTTCAGTAGAGGGTTTGGTGCTGCGTTGTGTGGTTTTGGTGCTGTAAGCCCAGGTCCCGGGTCTCTGAGCACCAGCATACATCTGAGGCTGGATGTAATGAACACCATCCTGGGAGTGGGAGAAGGAAAGCCTGGGAGGAGACATCTGTGGCAGCGTAGAGACGAAAATTGCAGGCGTGGCTTCAGATTAGAACGTGGATGGGAAAAAAACCCTTACAGATCCCTGGGCCGGTGCTGCAGCCTGCCGCTGGCTTGCATCTCTGTTTGTGGAACAGCTTCCTTGTTGAAATACTATCTCATTAGGCTCCCAGAGTCTGTAAATCCCCATCAGTAGAGTAATCACTGAGATGCATCTGCCTCGCTTGGAGCAGAGCCAAAGACGAGCAAGGAGACCGCAGGCAAGCAGAGCTCTCTGGCTTGTTTCACAGCCCCTGGCAGCAGCATGTCACCGAGTCCTTTCTAAAATGCTTCCTAAAAGGCTTGCCATCCCCTTCTCCTTTCCTACTGACTTTTGGAGAGACTCGTTTAAGTGATGCTTTCAAGCATGTCTTTAAGGCCAGTTCTCTCCTTTATTTCTCATTCCCTGTTTGTGTGGAGAGCTGGAACAGAGCATGGTGGGTGGGTGGAGGACTGAGGCAGCTCCCGTGATGGTAGTAGAGCGATGCTGATTCATGCCAGCAGAAGATCTGTCCCTGCTGACTGATGTGTTTCTCTGTTTAAACATTGGAGAAAGCTTGAGACAAAACCTCACCCTGAACCCTTCAGCGAGGAGGAGCTAGTTGCCATCCTCGTGCTGGTGTTCTTCCTGTTTGAAGCTCTTGACCTTTGGATCTCAGGGGACAGAGCTACATCTAATGTTAAAAAGAAGATGGGTGCCAGGGCTGGAGCACTAACGAGCCACCCCGTTGTCATCAGCCAGCCGGGGCAATCTTGCCAAAGCAGACAGTGACACAGTAGTCACCTTATGGACACGGATGATTTGCAGCCCAACACTACAGGAGCCCACCAAGCTCTTGGCCCCTTCACGGTAACAAGCTGGCACAAGCAGCCTTGCGATCACAAAGCACAGTGTGCTCGGGGTAACCAGGAAATTGATATAAAGTCCTGGGGGGTTACCGTGAACAACAGTAAGGATGTGTTGTTGCAGTATGTGGAGTGCCTACTTTCCCCCCTGTTTTATTCCATTTAAAGGAACCACAGTTTTGGGGGGTTCTTCTAGTTTGAGCACGATAGAGCCAACCAGGGAGTGTGCTAGAGCCCATTTGGGTCTTTAGGTTTTATTTCCCCATTAAGGATTTTCTTTTTCCTAATGGCATGTGTAGCATCTGGTGGGTGCTGTTCCCCAAACAAGGATCTTAAAAGAACCACGTGCCAAAATATGGTCCTACAGTGCTCTGCAATGACTTCTGTTTTCAGCCTTTGGTACCCACTCCCTTTGATGCAGTCATGCCATATCAGTCATTGGTTTGATTTCCGTGGAATAGGCTGGACAGCTTCATTTGTACCCTGCACATCTCTGGGACAAGCACATTCAAGGCAGAGAGGGTATCAGGCATGTTCCAATATGTAGGAAACACAGCTCCAGAGACATGGTACTTCCTTCAGCAGTGCCTCCCCATTGTACCCATGGCTGCACTCTCCTGCCAACAGATGGTCTTCATTTGGGACGCAGAACTTCCCGTGAGTAACGGGAAGTTTGTGACACACATCTGGTGTGATACACAGGTCTCTCTGTGACCCCCCTCAAAGATTTATTCTCATTTGGAGGCTTCTCGAAAGGGATGAATGCAATCTGAGCTTCTCCAGTCCAAAAATAGCAGTATCACATGCAGCGGGAACAAAGGAGTTGTCTACACAGGAAAGCTCATTCAGATTAAGTTGGGTATGAATTTAAAGTACAATAGCTGTTCCTGAATCATTCCCTTTGTGGGAGCTCTTGATGTGGAATAAGACTGCCTTATTCTGAATTGGTGTGATTCACTTCCTATGTGGATTAAGCCAATTTGGCTGTCAGGTGCTCTTATTCCAGAAGAAGAAGGTCCACATAGGGAGTTAATCAGCTCTTCCATGACTTCCTGCATGGACAAGCCCCAACAGACTGATTCTCATGTTTAAACCTAGAGAAACTGGAGCCCAAGGCTGAGGTAAGGTCACGGTGCTGCGATTTTCCTGGTGCGCCTGTTTTGTGATTGCTCTGAGCTGCTGTCTGCTCATTAGCAGAGGCAGAACTCAAGGTCTTTTCTCACTTTGAAGCTCTTGGGCTTCTTTTGAGGCCCTTGTAATGTGCGTGCTAAGGCAGTGTGAGGAGGAGCCGAGGCCGAGGAAGCTCCATGCAGCCAAGGGGGTGCCCTTGGTACTTGTGGAGGCAGGGAAATGTTAGTGGCTCTGGGAGACTTGTCCATTGTGCACTCAACTCAGCCCAGGAAGGGGGGTTTTGTGTGCGTTTTCAGAGCTGTGTCAAAACAGGGAAAGGGTTCCCCAGGGTCCTACGTGCACCTGGCACCCATCACCTGCTGGCACAGCTGGCAGCACAGCACTCGGCACCTTGGACAAGGCACTTGGGGCTTCAAACACTTCCTGACCCAGGCCCACGGCCGGCCCACACTGTGCTCTGAACATTGGAGCTTGGACCAAGAGAGAAGCCACGTCTCTGCTGATGTCTGAAATTTCCTTCCTTGTCTGCTGTAGATGAGTGAGAGCGAGACTCTGATCAGTATGGTGAACAGAATGGTGGAGAACTCCTCCCCTAGGGCCCAGCTCTACATGCAAGTAAGGAACCGCGGCCACTCCACCCCCAGCAATGCCATTCCTGCCGCCTTTGCATGGCAGAACCATCGTGCAGCTCCCTCTCGCACGACACGATTCATTTGCGATCTTGCCACCCGACATCTCCTCTCATTGAAACGCCTCACCCTGCATCTGTGGGGCCTGACACATCACCCACGGGGGAACCCGCTGGCTCCATCACAGGCTTCACTAACACATCCATAAGCCATTCAAAACTCCAGTAGCTTATTGTCCTCAAAGGCAGCGCCGTGTGGGGGATGGAGTACAAGACTGGCATGGAGGAAGTCCTGAGTTCAAATCTCAGTGCTGCCACCTGCTTCTAGAGCAGCCTTGGTCAATTCACTGAGCTGCCTTGAGGTTTGTGAAGAGGGTAGTGCTTTCTAGGCTTGTGAGGGTGAGCTGAGGATAAGACCCTACCACCTTTTGTATTTCAGTAGATTTAACACTTGGGGTCATCATTTCCAAAGCCCCAGCTCTGCTCTTTATGTTATAGGAGTGCTCCCATCATCTGGCAGCAGAAGTAGGCTTTTATCCTTTTTGCAGTCAAGCTGTTAGAAATTAGCTTTGTATTGAACCTACACAATTCTCTGAATATAGAAAGTGCTGTACAAGTACCAAGTACTAGGCTCTTTTCTGCTGTAACTCCAGACTCCAAACACGCCCCTGGCTGGTCCAGTCATAAAAGCAACATCTCACTGCACCATGCTGGAGAGTCAGCTGCCACCCATTCATGCTTTCAGAGCTCCATTCATAGCTGTGCCACTTTTGTTAAGCAAACTCAGTGTTGCTGAATGTTTACTACGTGTATTTTCTAGATGTCCCATGCCTGCTCTGAACGCAGGGGGTTCTTGGTGGATATAAGAGGTCACCACTGCTCAGGCAGGACCCTTGCCAAGGTCATGGTCAGTGTAGTGCTAGCTCTGCATTCTTGCATTGGGCACTGTGCTGTTCTAGTCCATGTAACGCCTCTGCTGCATCCCTTGGTTGCCTTCTTCCGGGGGTGGCTGCGCATTGTGTTGTGCCATGTCGCTCTGAGAAAGGGATAGTGTTGGATGTGAGGGGAAAGGTCTTTGCATCCACTCCATAAATGGAACAGGCCACCTGGGGCAGTCAGATAACCAGATGCAAGGCGGGGATGCACTACGTTGTGAGCTGCTTTCCCATAGGCTCTGCCATCCTGCTTTGATGCCACAAGGTACCCAGGGGCCAAATCCTGCATCCTGCTGAGCTTGGCACTGGAGGCCTTAAGCAGCAAGTGTCAGTGCCCCAAGGTGACTGTGGTGAGTGTGGCATCTGGTCTGCCGCTGGCCACTTCCCATTGGCCTTTAACTCTAGCGAAGACTGTCTAGCCTCAGCCTCCCAGTGAGGGGACCCCTGAGACTTCCTTCAGCACTTTCTTCTCATCCCTGCCCGTTGTGTTAGCCAGGTGCTGAGCTGTTGTGCACACCAAGAAACCTCCCTGGCATTATAAGGGCAGCCAAGACCCAGCCTTTCTTTAGAGATCTCACATTGTGATACGTTACTCCTCACCTTGAGGAGCTGAACCCTAGAAATGGGGGATATCCTGACCCCGGTTCAGGGCCCAGTGCACCTGCAAAGGGAATGCCGGACTGCACACTCCACTCCTGACTGACCCCATAGTTGCCCACACGGGTGGCCAGTTACCATCGCTTGCCCGCGTGATTGCCCAGTTACTGACCCAGGCTTGATGTGCGGCTCGATAGCTCAGATCCTTTGCAGAAGGGATGTTGTGCACCCTCCCGCATGCACAGGAGAGGGGCATTATCTTGTGCATGGAGGAGCTCCCTGCCTTGGAAGCAGGTCCTTGTGCTTCCACGGGAGGAGGCAGATCTGAGCAGCCAGCAGGAGTTGACTGGGTTGGGCAGACCTTGAAGAGTCTGGACTCTTTCTGATGGCTGATGCGGTGGCTGAGCACTCGGACTTCATTTCCTGGCCCCCTGCTAAATGTTATGGGCAAAGGGGTTCAACTGGTAGGGCTGTGGTGGGGACTAGGGCTCCGGCAGCCAGGAAGCCATTCTCTCCAAGGACTCCAGACACGACCTCGGGTCTCCCCAGAGGCTCAGCTCTGCACAGGAGGGAGCAGTAGTGACTGGTTCCTGTTATTGCAGGTATCTCCCTTCCCGGATGCTTACAGAGAGACTCTGCACGCCTACAAGATAAGCGAGCAAGACACGGATGTAAGATCAACTCTCTCTGCCTTGCCTGTCCACCTCCTCTTCCCTGCCGTCATACTGTCAGCCACCCATCCTCCACCCCTGGGTGGTCATGCTTTCTCCCACCTCCCGCCTGTGCTGTGTGTCATTGGATGGGCATCCTTTCTCATGGCAGAGCTTCAGGGATAATGGGCATTACTGCTTACCCGTTCACTGCTGCTCACCAGTGTCATTTGCTAGTTTGCTTCAGTTCTTAGCTCTCTTTTCCACTGCATCTCTCTCTCCTACTCTACACACGTCTTCCACACTTACATTCTTGTGTGTTTTCAGCCCACTCAGATAATACATTACTTGTCCACTGATAGTAAGACCGAGGGTAGAAGTGGCTGAAGATCACTCTTGCTACTCGCGTAATATAGCAACCACTTGGGATTAGCCTAGTAAATATGCCCCAAAGTGCCCTGGAAGATTGTGGGTTGCTGAAGGTTTTTCTTCACGGATCCTAAAGGAATATTTTAGATATTTCCAGAGGTGCCTACATGTGAAGCAGTGACTCAGCAACGGAAAATGATTCTCCTGTCTTCCAAAAGGACTTGCCTGGGGTTTATAAGTGATGCTGTTTTACTTTGCCAGTCCTAGAAATGAAACCCTTGACTGTCGATTTTTCACCCTAAGAAACTGAACCCTGATGATTTTTCATTTTCCATTTGATGCTGTCAGGTATTCCCACCTCACCATCCACTGGGCTAGGGAGACAGTCCTGAAAGAGAAATAGCAGTGAGAGGTCCCTTGGTGCCTCTGGGCTAGGATCTAATATCACAGATATTAGGGGCCATATCCCCTCCCCAGTGAATTCGTTGGTTGTTCTGGCATTAGCATCACTGGGGTCAGGATTTGGTCCAATGTCTTGTCCTCAGATGGAGAGGGCCTTGCTGATTTACCACAAAAAGCCTGCTCCATCCTTACCTACATGATCCTGGTGCACTGTGGCAGCGTGGCAAATGGGCCCTCTGACAGCTCTTCATGCTCTGATTTTTTTTTTTTTTCTTCTTTTCCTTTCCTGGGGACAGAAACTCTTGGGGAAACTGTGTGAGCAGAACAAGGTGGTGAGGGAGCAGGAAAGGCTGGTGCAGCAGCTCCGGGCAGAGAAGGTGAGCAGGGAGGGGAACCCAGGGTGATAGACTCTGTCACCCTGGGCAAACCTGGCGGTTGAGGCTGGGCTTGTCACCGTTGGGTGGAAGTGGCCCTGGAGCAGCAGTGATGATGTAGCTATTTCTATTTCTCCTTAAGCCACCATGACACCGGGTGGTGAAAACTGTCTGCCTGCTTGGAAACAGCCTGGTGGGCTGGGATATTTGTGGCAGGATAGCTGCAACATGGGAAGAGCATCAGGTTCTTCTGAAGCCCCCGTGCTGTCATGGCCAAGTGCCTTGCATGCATACACTGCCCTGCCCTCCCAGTGCTGCCTCTGAGGAGGGCAGGGGTGACCCCCTTGGGCAGGTGGGTCACTAGCCTGGAGAGGCAAAGTGACTTGCCCCAGATCACAAAGGGCACCTGGAGCAGAGCTGGGAATTGAAACCAGATTTTCCAAGTCATCGGCTGCCTTAATGCAATGGTGACCAAGTCCCATCCTCATTGGCCTCTGGTGGAGTGTCCCTTGCAGCCATTCCTGCAGGACCTCTCACCAGCTGGTACTCACCAGTGGACCTGGCTCCAGTGGGCCTGGCTACCCCCCACCCATTCAGCAGGGATAAGGCCCCTTTTAGGTGCCCATGTCTCCACTCCCCAAGTCAGATGGCTGGGTGAGCAGGAGGGCTGTGAGGGCTTCATTGTCATCTTGCCATTAGGAGAGCCTTGAGAGCGCCCTGATGGGGACTCACCAGGAGCTGGAGATGTTTGGGAGCCAGCCTGCCTACCCAGAGAAGCTGCTGCACAAGAAGGAATCCCTCCAGAACCAGCTCATCAACATCCGGGTGGAGCTGTCCCAGGCCAGCACGGTAACAGAGATGCTGGGGGGCCGCCTGTGGGGACCTTGAGCTGGGCCGGGCTCCTCCGCACTGCAGGAAGGATGAAGCAGGGGGAAGCTGGCACATACTTTTAAGGGTCCCCTTCTGCCCTGTGCATGGCTCCTCAGTGGGGCAGCAACACCCTAGTGTGAGTCCTGAGCTCTGTGTCATCAGGGTGCCAAGCATAGGGCTTGTTCAACAGCAGGGTTGGATCCCTTAGCAGTGGAAAGAGCCGGTCTCTACTACTGTCTGCCAGGCTGGGGCCATGGGTGCCCAGGGAACCTGGCACCGGGGGGCTGAAATGCCCTGGCCAGCTCAGGCGGGTGGGGATAAATCTGCCTTTCCTTCTCTTTTTCTTGTTGCATTTCCCTGCTCCATTTTCTCCCATTAAAAAAGAAAGAAAATGAGGAGAATCTCCCTCCAGGCCACAGGGACCTGGGACCAGCCAAGGCATATCTCATGGGGGTGGAGAACATAACCCATGTAGTGCTGTACCAGGGGTCAGCCAGGGAGCAAGCCCTTGGCCCCTGGTTTTCCTGTTGGCCCATTTTACTTGCTGGACATCCACTCCCCACCCTTAAAATGCATTTACCAGTGCATCACGGTCCCTTCATGGGGTCTGGCATCACGGTGTTGGCCTGAGGATCAGAGAGGCTGCAAGCTCCCTGACTCCAGAGGGTGAAATTCAGTAATTACACCCACCTAACCCATTGGTGCCACCACCTCTCCACTGATTTTTCCCCCTGTAGTGGCCCCAACCATCTGTGAATGGTAGGGAGGGCATGGGGTACACTTTCCTCAGTGGAGCATACTTATGTTTGTCCCTGGAGGGTCTGTGCTGGGCCCTTGCTGCTTGTTTCCTAGGCTTGGTCCCAGGCCCATGCTAGCACATGCATACCAGCCCTTGAAAGCTTCCTGAGTGAGTGTGCCCCTCAGAGCAGACTGAGGGGACCTCTGTGCTGGCCCAAGTGGGGTATTGTCTCTGCATCCCTGGGACATGCACAGAAGGAGCTGGTTGTCTCATGGGAGCATCTGCACATCCCCCTAGGCCTTGGCCAACAGCACTCTGGAGTACGAGAACCTGGAGAGCGAGGTGTCCGCCCTGCATGACGACCTCTGGGAGCAGCTGAACTTGGACATCCAGGTGAGAGAGCAGGGCTGGATCAGGAGTGACTCAGGGCACTGAACCCCCCACAGGCTGGGCTTGGGCAGGGGGCAGTGCAACTCCAGGGTAAATCAGGAGTAACTAGGGGTAAATCATGAGCAACTACGCAGAGAGCAGTCCCATTCCCTTGGGCAAAACTGGTGCATGTGAGAGCAGTCTGGCCCTGAGAGCCTGTCTCCTCCAGCCCCGAGGCATGCGTAGGTTTGGCTCACAGCTTCAGGACCAGCTTTTCTTACACCCACACAGTGCCTCTGATTCGTGTGCACAGCTGCCATGGTTGCACAAGAGTTTTCCTGCAAGTGGCCAGCTTGATGCTCAGTCAGATGCGCGGTTACGGGGAATTTCGGGCACAGGCTCAGTCACCGGCTGTGTCCGTCCTTTGTGCCCCAGTGAGGCCTTGGCCTCTTTGCTGAGACAGGACAGTGACAGCACCAGCCATGGCTTTCATTTCCATGATGCAGTTACCTGTGCAGTGGCACATCTGGGCCCAGCTGGAACGGACTCTGTGTTCACACATGGGCAGAACCGGTCATGGCCCCGTGGGAAAGCAGAGCCAGCAGCCCCTGGCAGAGCACTGCAGGGCCACCAGAAGATGGGCACAGTCCATGCAGCATTACTGCTTCATTGGCAGAAGGGCTGGAAGGGGCTGCTGAAAAAGGCTTAGCCCTGATGAAACCAGTGCGGTTGGCAATCCAGGGTGCCAAACCCCTTTGGCCCTGGCTCTGGGCTGAGGCCAGAAGCCCCCTGGATTTCACTACTAATGTGAAGGCTGCATAACTTCAAAGGAAAGGCCCCAGGGTTTGGCCCTGTGGTGTGAGTGAGTTGGAGGTGGCTTTGGGCATTGTTGCTGGAGGGTGATGGACAGAGCCCCCATGGCAGGCAGGTTAGCTGGGCCGCATCACAGCCCTGCAGCTCGAGATGGCAGCTTTTCTGACCACCTGCCCATTGTTCCTCACAGAACGAAATGCTCAACCGGCAGATCCAGAAGGAGATCTGGCGGATCCAGGATGTGATGGAGGGGCTGAGGAAGAACAACCCCTCCCGTGGTACGGACACCGCCAAGCACAGAGGTGAGCACCGCCTTCCCTGGGCCTGACTGAGGCTGTGGGGTCACAATACAGCTCGTTTTAGTGCCTGCTCAAGTGTCCCACAGTCCTTGGTGATGCATCCCAAGCTATGAGGTCTTCATGGCTACTCCCATGTCCTTGACTGTCACCCTCTAGCAGCCGTGGTGCATAGAGGATGTGGACCCGAAAACCTCTGTAGGTAATGGAGAATCCCAAAGGGCAGCAGCCTGTGGTTTCTGGAGCCAGAGGTGGGTGGCTTCCAACATTAGATCCAGCCTACTTGGCGACCATAGTAGCTGCAATGAGTAGGCAGGTGACCCCAGTGCAGGCCCTCCTGGTTGCCACCCCTCACCACAGCCCTCTTAATGCCCCCTTGCTGCTGCTGCAGCCTCCAGCTGTCAGCAGCAGCCTTGGTTCTCCTGGCTGGCTTCAGCCTGCCTCGGATAACGCTGGGGGGAAAGTCTCTATAGAACTATCTGCCTCAGCAGTGATGGTTCCCACTTGCCCACTGGCATCAAAGGTAACACACAGCCACTGTGGGAGCCCCAGACTGGCTTGTCTTCCCTTTGCTGGCTGGGCCAGCCCCTTTCACAACAGGAACAAGCTGCACCCTTGCTTCATTCCTTTCTGTTGCTTCTTTGCAGTGGCCATGGGTCCGCCGGGAACATACAGCTCCAACAGCCCTGCCAGCCCTCTGAGCTCTGCCAGCCTCACCAGCCCCCTGAGCCCTTTCTCCCTGGTGTCGGGCTCACAGGGGTCACCCACCAAGCAAGGTGCCGGCGAGGTGAGTGGAGCTGCGGGGGCTTGGGGCTAAGGATAGGCAGTGCTGGGTGGCGGACAGGCAGGATATTAGAGACCCGGTGCTGTTCTGCTGGCAGAGGTCCCTTCCCTCCAGCAGATGGCACCCGCGGCTCTCATATCTGACCCTCGTGAAACCTCTGTGCTCCAGAAGGATGCACAGAGGGCATGAACCTCGGTGGCACAGGCTGGGGTCCAGGTGCACTGGAGTTCTTTGGGGGTGTTCAGTCCAGGGTGGACTTTAACTCACCCTGACATCAACTTGGGCCCTGGACCTGGCTTCCAATTTTGAACCCCCTCCAAGAAGAATGGTTGCTCCAATCCAGGGTCTGGGCTCTGGCCCAGCTCTTGTCAAGCCCATAGCTTCATAAAGAGTTGGTGCCCATCCCCAGAGGGTTCAGCAGATACTCTTGGTGCTCTCTGCTCTCTTGTTTGCATCTCCATTGAGTTGGGACTTGCCTTTGGGTTCCCTCAGGGTCCCATCTTGCAAAGCTGGGGATGTCCCTAGACACCTCAGTGATGGGACCCTTGTGTGATAGAGCATGGGCAAATCAAAAGCCTGCCAGTAAGAGTTTGGCCCATCTCTGTCAATTCGAGTGGCTTTGCTGAGCATCTTGCCCAGGGACACAACATTTCGCACCCCATGGGGTGGGGTGGCCAGGCTGTGATAAAGCCATCTGTTGGGGGATAGTTTCTGCGGGGGGGACTTCCCCGGCAGTATGGGGGATTATGCTGCCTTGGCACAAACATGACATTGAACCAAGCGGTCCATGTTCCATGGAGCAAACCTTCTCGCTCATGTTGGTGAGTATGAGGCCTGACCATCAGATGCTGTGGATGTGAACAATCTCCCACCCTCTTTTTCAGCGAGGTGTGGGGGAGCAGCTGGGGAGTGTCTGTGGGCAGGGGTCTCCCCACCTCCTCTTTAGAGGGAGACATGGAGCAGGGGGCCCTGGAGCTCAGGGCACTGGCGAAGGGGTGGGACTCAGACCTGCCGGGTCCTGGAGTGGGTGCTCAGCCCAGGATAGGTAGGACCAGCTGTGGGCCCCGCACTGCCGTCTGTCTGCCTGTCTCTCACTAACTTTCTCTTCTTTCCCGTTCTCATAGTTGCTCTGCTCTTGCGTCTAACACTCTGGCTTCCTCTTTGCCCCAGGAACCAGGCCCGCCTCGACCTCCCCTTCCTAAGTCGTATGTACCCCTGGAGTCTCCTCCGACCGTCCCTCCGCTCCCTAGCGAGAGCCGCCTCTGGCCGTACCCTAGCTCCCCGTCCTGGCAGCACAGCAGCGAGGCCAAGCGGGGACAGGTATCAAAGCACGTCCAGAGCGGACTCGGGGTCTGGCAGTAAGCAGCAGCCTTCCCATTGCCCCACTAGGAACCAGCAGCAGCAAGCAGGAGAGCCATGGGGCGTAGCTGAGAGGGTGGAAAGTGGGGCTAATGCCCCTCTCCCTCCAGCTGCAAGCACTGAAGGTGTGTGGGGAGTCAGTAGACACCTCAGGAGGACTGGCAGAGAGAGGCTTAGGGCCAGGGGTGTTTGTAGTGATGGTGCACAGCCTAGCAGGAGGGGCATGGCATATGCTGGGCATTGGGGCATCCAGGTGCCAATGCCAGGGGCAGATGCAGTCCCCACCCTTTGCAAGGACATCGTAGGAGCTCTTTGTCCCTTAGCTGCCCATGTGCTGACCAAGGCACTGACCTTCCCAATGGGCAAGGTGCTGACCTGGGCTTGGGAAGACCTGGGCTTTATTCCTGTCTCCACCCCTGACCCAGGAGCAAGTCACCCTCTTGCTCTGTGCCTCAGTTTCCCCATGTATCGAAGGGGAAAACTAGTAGCACCTACTCCTGAGACCAGTGCCTAGTGGAGCTTGCAATGAAAGAACAGTGCACTCAGTTGATAAACCTTCGCTTGGAGACCCCCTGTCTCTTGTAGTGCCATTAAGCTAAATTGGGGTGCTGGATCCTCAGTGAAATTGTGAATCGCCCTTCGCACCAGCCTCATCTCAGTGCAGGGAAGGGGATCCCATGAGAGCCAGCTGCAGGGCTGTAACCATCAGGAGCCCACAGCTGGCAGGGAGGACAAGGGAGAGACCCTCCCTCCCCCTTTCTCCCATCATTGTGAGTCTTGTCTATGTGGAGGGAATACCACTGACCCTTCACATCCAAGCGAGAGGAACTCAGGTGTTTCTCTCCTTCACTTGTCTGCTTTCTCTCTTGCTCTCTCTGCTCCACCTGGGATCATTCAGCTTCCAGTTTTTGTGGGCTGAAATGTGCTTTTGAGGCTGTGGAGCCCAACCCTGACCTTGCTTATGCCACTGTCACCCCACTGATTTCAGGAGTGTACAGAGGGAGGTGTGGGGTGCTGCCTGAGAGCAGATTCAAGCCAGTAGGTGCCTGATTCCCAGTGGATTTTAGTGCCTAGACCACTAGTACCTGGACATCGGCCAGTTTTAGATTCCCAGGACCAAATTTTCAACATGCACCTCCAACATGTGCACAGCCTTGCAGCCAAGTGCCGTGTGCCTAGTGATATGTGCAAGAAGGCGTGTGCACATGGAAAATAGTACACATATGAAGCAGGGGATGGTTTTCATCTCCTACAAGGAGAGCCACGTGTCCTGCCAGGCTGTGTCTGTAATAAGCCTGCTGAGATCCCAGGCACTGTCAGACCAGCTGGTTCTGATCTGCGCTCGTCCCTCCTGTACTGCTTTGGAGTTGGTGGGCCCCAGACACAAACTTGCTGCAGACTCAGCCCGGATGGTGCCCACCCTGGATCATGTGTTTTGAGCTTCCTTGGGTTAGGTGGTTTGGGCTGAAACCCAGGTGCTCTCTAGGTTGTCATTTCCTGGCTCTCCTGAGTTGTGTGCATCCATCTGTCCTTTCTGTGTCAGTGTGTACATCGTCCATTCATCCCCACGCCCACCCCGGTGGATGCCCGGGTTAGTTGTCCGACGGCAGGTCTCTTTAGCTCTCCTGCCACCAGCCCCCTCCCCAGCCAGTCGCCCACTCACCAGGGAATCCTCTTTCCCTCTATAGCCCAAGTCAAGCTATGAGCAGAGCAAGAAGGACGCTCACCGGACGGCCACCTCCAACGCACCCGTGGAGGGTCTGCTCCTGCAGACGAGGCAAGAGCAGGAGGCCGAGAAGCAAGCAGCTCTCAACAAAGGTACCAGCTGCAGGCCCTGTGAAGGTGGTGACACCTTTTCCCTGCTCAGCCTGTGGGCTGGCGGTGCCAGAGGGCCAAGGTCTGGGGCATCCCCAGAAAAAGGAGGCACCTCTTTGACTTTGGAGCTGGGGGTCTCCCTTGCAGCTGTCAGGGCCCAGCAAAGCATCCTGTGAAAGGGCATGGGGTTAGGGCAGGTCACACCAGCAGCTCCTCCTGCCCCTCTGGGTATAAGCTCTGACATGCTGCCACAATTTCAGGAGCCACCAGGCCCTTGGCGTGCCGAGGTGAGGCCCATCTTCAAGTCACAATAGATTTTCTCCTTAGTGCCACTTCCTCCCCGTGTCAGCACATCAGTCTCCCCACCCCATGGTGTATCTGATGTACGTGGCATGCCTGGATTGGCCTGAATGTCGCAACAAGCCATGAAAGCCCAGGACATCTGCGTTCTGCTCTGGGGTCCCTGCCTTACTGGCTACATGACCGAGAGATCATATGGCTTCCCTTTGCCCTGCCTCATGGGCTTCTCTGTAGAAAGGGGCTAGCGGTATTGAGCCTTGTGCTGGTGCTGAGGGCTGTGTTCATTGATACGTGCAAGAGATGCTTAGGGCGACGCTGCTCACCTTCCCCATAGAGTCAATATATAGACATCTCCCCATCCCTGCAAATGCCCTCCCCAACCCCCACAGCCAGGGGCGGGTTGTGCAGGGAAAGTGAAGGGCCATGAGTCAGGCAGGCAGCACATTTCCATATCCCTGGGTTCTGGAGAGCTCCTGCCTCACCCCAGCAGGGATGGGACCCTCAAGATGGGTCGGCAGCTGCTGTGTGAGGTCTCATGGCTGAGCATCCCTGTTTTCTGCTCCACCCCAGTTGGCATCGTTCCCCCACGGACCAAATCCCCCACAGATGAGGACTCGGCACCCACGCTGGGTGTGGTGAGGAGGAGCACCAGCAGCACATCCAATGGGCTGAACTCCAGGGTACTGTGCACTGTGCATGTCTCTGCATGGGGTTCGGGAGTCTGGGCTGAGGCAGAAGGGTGTGGGGTGGTGGGAGCACACATGATGCTGGGGCTGGACTGGTGGCTGAGGGACAAAGGTGAAATCCCTGGGGGAGGAAGAAGAAGCTATCTGGGCAGCAGGGGTCTGGTTGCAGCTGCTAGTTAGTTGAGAGCTTCCCTTGGCCTGCCTTGAATGCTGGAAGCTGCAGGGGGAGAGGAGCAGGGGCCAGATGTGTCCAGAGGGGCTCTGCTTAAATACTCTTTCTCTTCACCTCTGTTCTCTGTCACTGAAAGATATTGGGCTCCAGGGCCTGTGGACTGAGCCAGTCTGGCATTGCCTGCACTCTTATTCAGCTCTGTTGCAAATGCCTGAAGTGTTGCCACACATAGCAGCCTTCAGCTCCACCAAGGCCCCTCAGTCCAGCCCTGCAGCTCCCTCAGCTGGTCCAGAGATCATCAGAAGCAGAAGCAGCTGCTGACAAGCTGGCTTTCTGGTGCAGGAGGCTTTCCCTTGGGGACCGAGTTGAGAACATCAAGCTCATTGCATTAGGGACCAAAGCCTGATCTGAACTCCCTGCACGGGGAATCTGTTCAGGACACCGGCGGGCATGTGCATGACCCCAGGGTGCTATGCTTCTCCCCAGGAAAGGCCAAAGAGCGCTGTGTTCGCCAATGAGACCAAGACGAAGATGAGCGTGGAGGAGCAGATTGACCGCATGAAGCGCCACCAAAGCGGCTCCATGAAGGAGAAGCGCCGCAGCCTGCAGCTTCCGGCCAGCCAGACACCGGAGGCCCCCAGCACGAAGGCTCCTGCCTCCTACAAAGTGGTATGGTTTTCCCAGGCTAGCACTGGGCATGGAGCCTTTGCCTTGTGTCCCACAGGCTGTTTGCAGAGCAGTGCCCCAAGCCCACTGGAGCCCAGGCCCCACTGGCGCTCCCAGGCCGGTTCTCCCCTTGTGAGCCAGTCCCTGTTGTCTCTTCATATAACAGAGACCTGGAGGCCATGATGGAAACTGGCTGGTACAGTGAACACAACACTGGGCTCAGACTCAGGAACCTGTGGGTTTTCTTCCTAGCTGGACCTGTATGACTGAGCAGGTCCTTTCCCTGCTCTGCTCCTCAGTTTTCCCTTCTGTAAAATGGAGCCCTCTTCTGCCAGGTGCCCAGAAATTCACCAATGAAGTGCTCTGCAAGACCTGGCTGGGAGCGGTCAGTTGTGGTCTGGGGTGGGGGAAGTAGAGTCTGTGGTGAGATGTATGGAGAGAGCTGATGAGGAAGGGCCCATGGCCGGGTACCTGAAGCAGGCTAGGTTGGCAGGGAGATGGGGAAGAGCCTGTGTGGGTAAAATCAGGGGAGGGGTTTCTCCAGGACTGTCGTGCAAGGCTGGGGTGGATGGGTGAGAGGAGCAGCAGTGGTGGGGTTTCTGGAGAGGTTCCTCCAGCATTGTGAGCACTGAAGCCAGCTGGGGCGCCACCCTGCCAGCCCTCCGGCCCTGAGTCAGCAGTGCGGTGGTGTGTTCCAGGTGCGCCGACACCGCAGCATCCACGAGGTGGACATCTCTGACCTGGAGGCAGCGTTGCGCTCCGAGGACTCGGGCAAGGTCTACGAGACACCGAGAGAGGAGATTGCCCGCCTGCGCAAAATGGAGCTGGAGCCGCAGCACTACGACATGGACATAAACAAGGAGGTGAGACCCTGTCCCACTGGCAAGGGCCTGACAACACCCCTTGGAGTGGCAGCGGAGAGAGGCACCAGCGAGATGCATGTGAGGAGAGAGCAGCCCTGGGAGACAGCACCTCCATGAGGACCTGGGCCAGGGGTGGTGGGAGAAAGTGGTTTCTGGCTTGAAGGAACAGCTCCATCCCATTCCTCAGGGCAGGGGCTGGGCAGAGAGGACTGCAGTGCAGGGCATGTCCAGGGCATCCTGGGTGTTGTCCTGCTTTTGGCCCACAAAGAGGAGATGGAGGAGGAAGGGGTAGCAGAGCAGGAGCTGACCATGTCAGGAGGAGGGACCAGGCACCAGGCTCAGGACAGGCGCCCACTGCTGAGACCAAGGCACTGTGCCCCACTCCGGCTACAGCCTCACTCAGTTACCACGCCTGAATTAACCTGAGTCCCAGGACTCAGCACCTGCCTTTGCCTCTACCCAGCTTTCCACCCCGGACAAGGTGCTCATCCCAGAGCGGTACATCGAACTGGAACCCGATGTTCCTCTGAGCCCTGAAGAGATGAAGGAGAAGCAGAAGAAAGTGGAACGGATAAAGACGCTCATTGCCAAATCCAGGTGAGGCTGCTGCTCTGGGGCCATGTCAGCCCTGGCTGTGCCCACCATGCCACCCACCTGCTAAGGGCACTGCTGGTTTGGCTGCCCTATGTTGCTTGCCTCCCTGTATCCATTCCTCACCTTACCACCCTGATTACCTGTTCATTTGCCCAGTACCTTCTGGCACTGCTTAGCCCTCCAGCCCTTGCCTGCCCATCTCTTCTGCTACCTTTTGTTGTTCCACCCATCAGTTTCCTGCATATGTTTGTCTTCCTCTGAGCATGGGGATGTCACTGGGGGGGGGCAGCCACAGGGAGGTAATGCCAGTCTCTCTCTGCAGCATGCAGAATGTGATTCCTCTGAGTGAGGGAGAGGTGGATGCACCCCAGGACACAGAGACTCAGCTCCAGGAGCAGGAGAAGAGGATAGAGATCTCCTGTGCCCTGGCTGCAGAGGCCTCCCGGCGGGGCCGCATGCTGTCTGGTAAGGAGGCTCAGGAGGATGTGAGCAGCAGTGACCCCATGAAAAATGGGGCACAGGAGAAATTCCTAGTCCTCAGCCAGAGAGGTGTGAAGATAAGAGGCTGGGGAATTTCTGCCCATCGTGGCTTTACTGTTTCTCAGTGCAAGGCACAGAAGCTAGGGCTGAAGAGAAGGACCAGATAATGCCCTGGGTCAGGAGAGGAGGTACAGGGAGAGGCCTTTAAGAGTCAGGTAGTTGGGTGCGTGGGTCTGGATCCCCAGCTGATAGAGCCATGCTAATTTACGGATACTGAGACTCCAGCCCCTGCAGTAAGATTCATCCCAGAGCTTCCCCCATTGGACTTGGTGAAGTCGTGCTCCTGCAAAATAGGGTTAGTGCCGGGTGGTTCGAGTGGGCCCGTGTCTCCTCTCACTGCTCTGCCAGTGTGGACTGATGCCCCCAAAGCCCATTACGTTGCCCTGGCATCAGAGCAGAGTCCGGCCCTTGTGTTTCACACTGCACGTGTCTGTGAAATGAGCCAGATCCTCAAACAGGATGCAGCCCGGTTAACTCCGATTGCTATGCACGGTGCTTGCATGGACCTCAGTGGGCGTCAGCCGTGAACAGTCAAGGGGAGAGCACAGACGGTGCATGGGACCATGCTCTCTCTTATGCCAGGGAAGTGGCAGCGGGCCGGATTCAGCTATTCAGGTCAAGTATAGTACCATGGAAGGTAACAAAGCTTTGCAGCTTGCATCAGCTGTGGATGTGGCCCACTGACATCCATGGGGTTTCTCCTGATTTACTCCACCATGGATGAGAGGAGGATAGGCCCATGCCATATAACGTAGTGTATGTGTTATTCCAGGATGGATGTACAGAGCCACTGTTTGACCTTTTGGAAACCACAGACCTCCAGCGCTGTGAGGAGCACAAGGGCTTTAGTGCAACTGGCTTTAAAAAAGAGGCTGCGGGAACTTTACAAAAATGGTTTCCTCCCTTTTCTGTCACAGAACATTTTTCAAACCTCTGAGTTTTTCATTTCTCGCAAAGAAACTCCATCGCTTTCTTTGGTCGAGACCCTTTGACATGTGGTTGGCCCTGGTGTAGAAAACGCCTAAGTAGCAATTATAACAACAACCATGGTGGCAGCCCCCCCTTGCCTGCACAGCACTCTGTGGAAGGCCACGTGGCAGAGTGGGCATGGTGCCCTGGGACAGCCACCCTGCAGACAGGTGCCATGTCCTGTCCTTGCCTTAGTCCATGTGGACCACGTGCAGAGCTCACGTGTGCGCGCTTGGCGGGACCATTTGTCGCTCTCCGTTGTTTCAGAGCATGCTTGCTTCCGGCCTCCCTTCCTTTTTTCTATCCCCAGCTCTGTCCCCTCCCCACTTTTTCCCCTGGAGTTGTCCTCTGCACCATGGCTGCAGTGTCATGCTCTTCATGCCCTTTCTCCATTTCTCCTTTCCAGCTCAGTGTGCCACCCCGAGCCCTCCCACCTCCCCAGCTTCCCCGACACCACCGACCAACCCCCTCTCGTCTGAATCATCCCGGGTCGCCGACAGCAGCCATTTTATGCGTGTCTGAGCCATGAAGTAAGCACCTTTTCTATTGTACTTCATCTCATCTCCTCTCCATTTTGGCCTTGTAGCAGGGGGAGCCTCTTACTCCAGAGACGTCTCTCCCCGGCTATCCATGCATTGCTTCTCGCCTGACTAACAGTCTCCTGTGCCATGTTAGTCCAGTCTCCTCCTGTGGAACAAGTGCAAGGGGTTTCAACCTTGGACCACCGAGGTGCCAGGGTCCATTGGGATAAACCAGACTCGCTCCCCTGAGGCCAACAAAGCCACTTTGCTGTTTTATATCAGTTGAGGATCTGGCCAGGTTGCTGTGGAGGGTTAAATGCCCGCTCCAGAAGCACAGAAGAAGAACCAATGGTGTGAAGTCTGTTGGGAAAGTTGTCTTCCTCGAATCCCACCTGTTTCTGTTTATTCGCTGGGTCAGGAGTGGATGGGCTTCAGGGCAGCTAAAGCCCATTGCGGTCATCTAGACAGGCCATCCCTTTTCTCCACCTTCACCAGGCATTGAATCAAATACACCTGAGGCCACGGGCTAGGTTCTTCCTTGCTTGCATCCAGTGAAAAGTAGAAATGGCCCCAGAGACATAAATTAGAGGAGAAATAGAGACTGTCAGGCATGAGAAATGCTACATCCCTCCCTGAATGGTACTGATTCTGCTTGCCTCATGAATAAACCCACATAAGTCATGGGAAATATGACCAGAAATCTGGACGTGGGATGTCGGCAGCTTCCAGAAGTCCTTTGCCCTCTAGGTAGCTGATTCCAGGCCCGTGTCTGGTTGCTGCGTGGTGCCATATGTGAGGCGGGATTGATGGGCTTTGGTCTTGGTCCATCTTACACACAGCACCCACCACACACAGCTGGCACTAATTGATCCCTCTTCAACATTGAGGCTAAGAACTAAATCGGTCACAGGGATGACATTCTCCTTTTGCTGCTAAGGGAAGGCAATCAGGATGAGGGCTGAAGCCTATCAGTCGACTTGTATGTAGGGGAAGCCTGTACTGTCCCAGTTCTGGTGGCAGCCTCAGGCCCGTATCCTTCCCCAGCACTAAACTCGCTCCAAAACTTGTTCTCGTCTCTTCACCTATGTCGGGGCCAATTACCAAACGAGAGGCTTTTCTGCCTGGACTTAGGTGTAGCTTCACCACAGCAGACTGCTAGTGCACACAGGGCCCACGCCAGGGTGGTGTGTGCTGGTGCCAGGCTTCCTGGTTTGAATGAGCCTTAGTGGTGCTGATCATACCATGCATCTGCTTACCCTGTTTGCACGAAGGGTTGAAGTGTTTCAGCCCCCACAAGGGGACTATAATCAGGCCAGATCCTCAGTGGAGGCCAAGAGCTAACAAGGGCATTGTATTGTGTCAAGCGGGGTGTTCCTGTCCGGGATGAGCCTCCCAGAGCAGGCAGGCCCAGTCTTGCACTCACTGTCTCTCCTCTCCTCCCTTCAGCACAAGCCCTGGCTGCTGTGAGCGCTGTGAAGTTCCACGGTGCCACGTTTTAATGCGTAAACACGTGCACCCCGCCTCGACCACCAAACCTTTCCTTGGCCATCGTACCGGTTCTCCCCGAGCCCCTTCCTCTACCGAATGCTGATGTCCAGGACTGGGAAGCTGTGAGCCGGCACCTGCCACCGAGGAGAGTGTGGAGGAGGGGGCCTTACCTCAGATCCAGTTCCCCCTGAACACTGGGCCTGTTGCACCGCAGGAAGAAGCACCATGGGCGGGCGGCCTGCCTGCTGGAGCTGGGTACCAAAGGGCACTGTGTAAATGGCTGCAGCTGCTGCCAGCCATTGGAGGGACAGACGTTAAAAGTGGAGCCAGTTGTGTTCTGGGAGATGCGCCTTCTCTACGCCAGGCATGGGCTCTGCATGTGCAGCTACGTGGCCGGGCTGTCATGCTGAGGAGGTGACACTGCCCTGGAGGGCATGGGGTGCCCCTTCACTTTCCACTCTGAAACCCTCGTCCCCCAAATTTCCTCCCTGTGAGAAGTTTTGGTGCAGAGACCAAGCTGTCGCTGCAGGTGGATAGCATTCCAGTGCTTTGCGGGCCTCGGTGCCCCATCGTTGCTCCATGCGCTCCCTTCCTGCCCTGCTGCCCTCCCCTGGCATGGCTTTCACCATTGCTAGTAGCCACCTTTCTCCGCACTCACGCTCACAAGCATCCACGGGAAGGAAGGGAACAGCAGGCATTCAGGATGGACAGATGGAAGTGGCAGCAAAGGAAATAAAAAGCTCCCTGGCAGAAAACGGGAGCGGTGATGGGGACTACAAGGTGGTGGGGATAGAGCTGTGTCTGTGAAACGCCAGGGTGAAGGGTGGCTTGGAATGGCAAGTCTGTGCAATGTATGTGGACATGTAGCAAGGGAATAGCTGAAAGATTGAAGGGGATGGGCTAGAGCAGCCCATGTGGCCTTGCTTAGTAGCCAGGCAAAGCCTCGATGTTTTCTGGGGCCAGCAGGGATCCTTTTGCAAGTAGAGATGAGGAGAAAGGGGAGATGGGCTTCAGGATTCCTCCCTGAGCGGGTTCTGGCTGGTACCAGCAGACGCCTCTCACGGAGTTTGTGTTACTGCCAGCAAGGCTCATTTCTTGCACTTTTCTGGGGATGGGAGTGGGTGAGAGGGAGGAACTGGTACCAACACACACATGTGCACCCGCCCACACACATGTGCACACGCACACCACATAGTAACCTTGGCCTGCTGCAAGAGGCATGTAGCACTAGACTGGGCACACTTTGCTGTAATGTTGCCACGGCACCTGTCACATCGGTATCTGAGTGTCCCACTTTGTTCTGGATGGAACTGCTGGGGCATTTCCTTCTCCAACACCCATGCATCTGCTGCAGGCTCCCTCCAGCAACTTCTGCCCCAGGTTAAAAGATGTCCTTACTTAGCCGCTGACTTGGCAGGTGGTACGTCAGTGCTGTAGCTGTCTCTTCCCGTCATTCAGACAGCACTACCTTGCTCCCAAATGGAGCAGAACCTGAGCTGTGAGGCCTGAAGGGAGCAAACCCTTTAACTTTGAGGTTGCAAGCCAGCATGCGATGGATGGGACTGGGAAGATGATTCCTACTGGAGGCAACTCATCCCTTCCTAGCCCACGGCTGAGATGCTTGCACCCCTCTGGGAGGCTCCGCTTTTGCAGCTGGGTAGACCCTGGGGGCAATCCGGTGTGACCATCCTTACCTGGAGAGCAATCCCGCACTGGGGATGGCCTTGGAGGGACTCGATGGGTCTTTTTGGCCTGTGGCTCCCTGCTGTATCACGTGTGAAGCAGTACATGGACATTGCCGCCCCTAGCTCCCTGCACTAAGGTGGATAGACCCCTCACACCTACAGTTATAGGAGCTCCTCTGCCCTTTTGGAGTGACAGCTCATGGTGCTGAGTCCCTGCTGCGCCTTCCCTGCTCCTATCAGAACCAATGGCATGAGCTCACTCCTCCAGATGTGACTTCATTATTCTCCTAATAAGCTGAGGATTAATCATTGATCTGGAGGCAGGGGCCAGGTCATAGCAGAGACTTACTCAGAGGTTCATTCCAGTTCAGATAAAGCATCTAGGAGGTGGTTGAAGCTCATCTATGCTTCCAAACCATTGGTGCCCATAGAACCAGACCTGGAGTCTCACGAGGACACACGGTCTGATGCCCGAGCAGCATTCCCACTGCCAGCGGAAATAACTTGAAAAGGTCTCTCTAAACGTCAGCTCAGCTTACACAGTGTTTGGGAGGATGACGACTCTTTATGTTTCCAAGCAGACTTTCTTGCCCTTCTCAAACTTAGGGCTGCATGAACAGAGCAACTCTATCTGCCACTTGGAGCGGGCTTTGCAAGGATTATGATCCCATTTAAGGACCTCGATGAGGGGCCAGGGTTTTAAAAGCATGCGGCACCCAGGAACTCCCACCGTGACATTGATAGATGGATTTTCTGAGGCCTCTGACAGCCTGGCTGTTTCCTTCCAGGCACAAAAGGGAGCTGGGCTCTTTTGCAAAATCCAGCCCTATGTTACACCATGAGATAGGTCCAGTTTTATCCCAGCAGCATTCTTGCTCTCAAAGTCTGGGTGGAAAAGGCAGGTTTTGCCTAGAAGCGTAGATATCTATTCCAGTGATCTGACAGACGATGTTTTAAAAAATGTCCACGTCTGAAATTGAGGCCTCTGCTCCAACACTGAGAGCAATCTGGGCTGGAGATCAACTCGAGTTGGTTTTCCTGCTTCAGAATCTCGTTTGTCATGAGAGAAACTGCAACATATGGCTGGGGTTGCATGCGAAATGGGCCAGTTTCAGGACACTGATCTGAACCGGAAAAGGCCAATGTCAAGGCTGCTTTGGTAACATATGTCAAGCCTTTGTCTCAAGAGCTCCGATTCCCCTCCTCCCAGACACTTTCCAGGGTACTTTAAGTCAAAAGAGCCCTAAACTTATGAACTGTTGAGTCCTTGAGACTGGAGCTCTGTGTAGAAACCTTCTCTGTTGACCTGATCACAGCTGGGCACCCACAGCTGAAGTGGAGTCCGTAGGAGACACGGGTGCCAATGCTCAGCACCGATTGAGATGGTGTTTTCTTCCCTCCTACCCCAGCTGTGGAGGGAAAGCAGACTGGCTGCTCATCATTCAACCAGACACTCCTTCCTGTCTAAGGAGCAGTTGTTCTAGCTTGGCAAGAGGCAGACCCTGCCTGGGAGGGACCTCTCTGGCGTCTTCCTGGGGAGAGTTGCTTGTCTCTGTGTCATCTCCCCAGATAGTCTAGTCTCCGTTAGTCTTCTGTGATTTTGGCAATATGCATAGCACCCCAGAAAAGAGGATCCCCCCCACTGCCCTGTTGAATCAGACCTAGGAATTTGTTTCCCTCTTCATTTTAGCAATACACAGAAACATCCCAGGAGAAAAAATAGTTCCGCTGCCCTCCTGGAGTCCCATACAGCCCCTGTTAGCTCATAAAGCTGGCCCTTTATTTTGCTATACATGCCTTAATATATGTTTTATGGAAATTATACATTTATATATAATATATATATTTGGGTTTTTTTTCTCTTCTTTTTTGGGCGGTACTGTTTTGTGCTAATTTTCTTTCTCTTTCAGCAGGGCTATTCGAATCGGCCCCGCCAGTGAGTTACAAAAAGCAGATTCTTTTCCAGTTTATTAGAAAAAGAAATCCTATTTAAAAAAATATATATTTTATGCTTTTATTAAAAGCAGATTTATTTAAAATAAAGTATAAAAACTGTAAGTTTGAAGAAACAATGCATTTATTTCCCTGTTGCTATGACAGTGCTTTGTGCAGGGCCAGATTCTCAGCAGATGTGAATCGGTGTAGGGGATGTTGCAATCTGATTGACAAGGGCTGGAAGTCTGGCCACTAAGCGCAGGTTACGAAGACGTGTAGGATTGTACCATATCGGGCACCACGCAAGGGACCTCGCTGGTACGTGGTATCAGGAGGAGATCCTTGCTATGTATGTGGATTTTTTTAATCTTTAATTTAAATGCTCCATTTGCCCCTCACATGTATTCTTGTGAATGGGTTTTCTGTCATGATGCGAATAGAGCTGCAGCTCTACAGGCTCCTGGACTGCAGTCCCTGGGATACCACTAGCCCAGCTGCCCCCCTCACCCCCACACTCCCCAAGCATGTACGCAAGGGTGCACGCACCTTTCCTTGCTGCAAACGTATTCCCAGAGATGGAAGGTGGTGGCTGAACTGAGAGATGCTGCCAAGCCAGGCAGCCCCTGGGAGCTCAGCCAAGGCAGGAGAGCTCCACTGGGGCTGTGTCCAGAGCTGGGATCCAGGACCCCTGAAGTCAATGGAAAGGCTTTCACTGTCATGGTTGGTGCCTGAGACCATGCTGGCATTGCCAGCCCCACAGTGAGCTTCTCCTTGGCTCTTGGCTCAGTCCCATCTTCCATCCTTGAGGGCTTGCTAGCTCCAGCATCATCCCAGCATAGTGCCCGGGGGAAGGGGTCTTGTGCGTTCAGAGGAAGGGGTGGGGGATGAAGACAATCCCACTCTTCAGCACCCTTAAAAGGGTTTCCCAGGAAGAGCTCCAAGGACAGGGGGACAGCAGGGGCCCTTCCCATTCAATGAATAACCATGTCGAGTCTGTGACCAATCACTACTATTGTCACTTTAAGAGTTTCCAAGGTTACAAGCTGGGAGCTTGCAATAAAGTGGGTTCCAATCACCATATTGCAGTATTGTGGAACTGTGGGGGGGTTGTTATTATTATTATTATTATTATTATTTTAATGTTTAATTTTATTTTGTTTTGGTTATTTTTTTTCATAACACCATCATATACCAGCAACTCTTGTAATCGAGAAAAACTATTTGCATTGAAAAAAGAAATCTATTTATGCACATTAATATTGGGAGGGAGGGAGGGGAAGTGGGCAAAAACCTGATTTTTGCTAGTGTTAGACAAATAAAACTCTCCAAGAAACCATGCAGTGTCAGTGTCTTTCTTTTTGTATGAAAGCGACCTTAGATGACAATGATTTCAATGGTAGATCAAACAGACTGTGATCAAACAGCTGTAGCTTTTCAGCGGCTTTAAATCTTCTAATCAGAAAAAGGGGATATTATCTCGACCCGTAATGAAATCTGTGGTAGTTCGCATACTTTTCTTTTTAATTTTCCCGGTGGCATTTGTTTTAGATGTAGCTACTAAATGGTTGAATCTCACACCAGGGAAAAAAAATGCATTTGTACCTTGCAAGTTTGTATAAAACGAATAAATAAAAATCAATGGTTTGTTAACAGACGAGTGGTGGAGCTTTTCTTTCTTGCAATTTTGCCTGAGATGCAAACTTTTCTTTCAGTTTTGCCTACGATGCAGGCGCTCTGGGCATTGAAAATATTTGGGGTTCTGATTTTTCCAGGCACTGAGCACCTGCATCTCTTCCGGCTGCCAACTGGAGGTGTAGATCCTTTATTATGTCTTGCACTGCATTTTATTTTTCATTGCTCTTCTCTGTTTTGAGGTGCTTTTGCACACAGCCGTTTGGGTTGAAATGGTTCCTGTTGGGAGTCTGTCCATAGCTACTTTGAAAGTTTTCGCTAAAATAAGAGAATGACACTAGGGAGGAAAAATATGTATTCAAAAATCGTATCCTCATTTCAGTGAAGACCGCCACTGCTTCTCAACTTGGAGAAGGGATTTGAAGTTTGAGAGGGCAAGGGA